TATTCGCCTTCAAATAATACGTTTAGTAATAATATTTCAAATTTTTTCACGTGTAATATTATACATTATACGCATTATATAGTTCAGTTGTTTTATAAATTTAAATATTTTACAGATTCATTATAGCTGTCACGTACCATATTTTGAAACGCTCAAATTACGTGCACGTAATACACGGCCAAGGTGTTCCAAAAAAAAAACCTTGTCAATGTGCTTGCTTCTAGATAGATTTTACTTCACTTTACACTTCATATTACTCCATATGTGACTGTAAGACCCTATGTGCAGCTACACAGAGTCTAGGTGGCGATAACACGTTTAAGTATATTTTTCGACGTCAATACAAATTCACCTTGTCTCTAACTTAAAGTTAAGTATTTCTCGGTACAATTCCATACGAATACCAAAAAAACACTATTTAGGTTGTACTATACAACTCGAGTGTATACCTCGAGAAATATTGTTTCAAGTCATACATGACAGTTAACGTAATTTCAAATGGTATTATGACTGATTCTCATTTACATTCTTTAAAATTCGTATGAACAAAATATGTTCCCTATATAATTAGAAATAAATCTAGTTTTAATATTTCACAACGTTTTTAGGTTTGGTTGCATTTTCTAGTTGAATAAAAGTATTGGCTGTTGTGTTCAATTTGAAATAATCTGTACTCGGAAGTACCATAATATCATTATATATAATATCATACTGATATAATTATATGCACCGACTTTTACCAGCTTGTGAACCACTGAAATTATATAGAACTGGTATACACGTATTGATTTAATTAGCATTGAAAATAAATGTATAACAATTATTACCTTAGATAAAGGTGACCATACGTCCATATTATAAGTAAATATTTCATATTTCAACTTTATGCCCTGTTATCCTGATAAAAATTTTACGGGACAAATAATCCTATTTTTTCCTTACTGTTAGATTATAATTTATTATTAGATAAAATCATTATAGTGGTATATTTTTGGTTTGTTGTTTTGACTATTTCAATGGATACATTAGATTACTAAAGAGTTGTATTTTTACATAAAACATTTTACTTTTGCTTAAAAATTTTTATACATTTATTTTTTGTTGTATGATTTAATGAAAAAAGGGCTTCTTATATTTTTTAAAAAAAACTATGAACATACTGCCCTAGATCTATAAATAAAATTATATTCGGGTATAATATTGGATATATAAATATATATATATATATATTTCAATATTAATATCTACTTGAGTTACTAATATAAAATAATTTATAATAAATAGAGCATTATTTTATGATGTGTGATCGAATATCAAAACAAAACAAATACATCGGAATACTATGAATATATATATATATATATATATATATACGTGATATAGGTATGATAATTAATAAGTTATGTACATACAATTTATTATACTACGTACGCGTTATGCGTACAGTTAGTAAATAATAAAGGGCTAAAATTCCATTTGAAATTCCTGTGTTATAGACATCGACGTTTAAAAATATCGATTACACATACAACACAGTACTTTCGTTTTGTTATCTGTAGCATATAACTACTGTTATAACAATATGAAATTGGAACAATTTCGTTTACGACTGTACATTTTTACATAATTTTATCATATATGCATAACCGCGATATACCTAATACAACGAAAATTTTAATTACGCAAATCTTAATTAAATAATAATTTTTAAAACATGATCACTTAAAATTATTATACATCACAATATAACATGATAGTACATATATCTAAAGCTTTTAATCACACAAAATACTACATTTTTTTCTTATACGCGCCTGCAGATAATTTAATTTTGTTATGTTCAAGGTACCTACATAGGTACGACTATAGACATTATTACGTACAACACACAACATTCCTATTAAAGTAAATAAATACTAGTAACTAGAAATCAAATTTTTTAACATATTATATACAGCAACGTGCACACAATACCATTTAAAGTTCGACCAGTCGAAGATTCGTTTAGGTTTGTATTGGCACATAATATGACAAAACAACTTTTGACCTGACAAATCTCGTGATTCCGTATATATTGTTGGATTTATGGTTTGAAATGCCTAGATCATTATCGTTAAATTATAATCCCAGCAAGAAAATTAATTTATAATATATTTTATTAGATAGGTAACTCTAAAAGCTTAAAATATATAATTAATTTTTGTCATGATATAGATACTAAAGATCACTAAAAACAATAAAATAAACAAAATCATTTTGAAGGGGAAATCGGTATACACTATATGCATGGGAGAAAATATTTTTTTCACCTCGTAAAACATGGTATTGATGTATTCTTTTAGCGGTCACAACTTTTGGACAAGTAAAAGTTATCCAAAATTTTAAGTAGATCTATTTATATTAAATATAATTTTGAACATAAAATATATCTTCAACTTCTCTTCACATTAGACACTTAAAAAATTAAAAAAGTTGAAAACTTTAACAGTTGAATGTGTAAAAAATGTTTTTATGTACCATGTGCGTTTATAAATAAATGCAAGGCGTTTCGCGAGGATTCACCGACTTTAAATTTTACCGGTGCATAAAATTTAAAAATTGCATGCAGAATATGATTACGGAACATAATAAAATAACGTCATAGAAATACCAATACGTCATAATAACAGTAGTCACTATTTGCGTGTACAGCGCACCATACATCATTTACGTGCGTTGAAAACAGATATATGCCGGCAAATATTGCATTGCGTGGAATATCATATCAGCTGTTGGTTGAAATTTTGTTGACGAATCGCACAATGGCCATTTAAGGCGTGGAATCCACGAGCGAAAATTTTTCCAAGCGGATAGGCTCCGTTTCGGTCGACTACGAAAAAAAAACTAAGAATTGACGTAGTGGGAGGGGAGACGAATACGACCGATCGCATTTTCCACTTCACCGTTTCCTCATAAATATAAATATTAATAACAGTCGAACTCAATGCTAAACTTAAAGCCCCAAAGCAGCTACTAAAGAAGAGGGCTTTTTAAAAATATATTTATAAAAACGGGTTTTAATTTTTATGTGTTGTACATATATTCAACACGCTTTATAAGAAACTATTATACGTATATCATAATCATAATTTAAAAATAAATATTTATATGTATTCAGTATTATATAACAGATTAATGAAAAAAAAATTGACAAGTTTTAACGACTCTGCTTACTTAACATAACGACAAAATGAAATTGTTACACGACGAACTTTTTTTTCTGCAAAATAACTGTAGTTCACTGATAGCATTATTTCTGACTCAATGTACAACACGGAAAGTGAATTAAGTCTGTAATCTTCTATATTAGATCTTAAACCATTTTTAATTACTTTATGTATTCATAAGAATATAGTGTAACATAATATTAATTTCCAAGTTACTATCTTATCTCATAATAATATTCTTATAAGCCTATTTCTACCCAACCCTAGACTAGTGAAATAAATATATAATATTTTAGACACGAAATATTTTTCCATGATGATTCATTTTTTGTGATATTTTTTTTTTTTTTTTTGGTACTTGACCATGGGCCCGGGCCCCAGGAAGATAAGGACCCTAAGCAGTTGCCTAGTTTGACTAGGCAGAAGTTCGCTACTGGTCAAACCTCTATTTTACAACTTTATATTTAACGAAACACTTAGGGAACAAATAGTTTTTTTTTATTGGTCCATGACATTTTCATTAATAAACGTTTGTAATTGACGAATTAATTCTAAACTATTATTTTATAATTATAAAATAGTAATATATTCCGGAGTTTTAAAAAAATATGTCAAAATTAAGTTTCATAAACAAAAATCTGGTTTCGATAATATTAATTTTGGTTATAATAATGTAGGTACTATAATACTAACTTATACTGTTATTCAGTGCTCGACTTGGCAAAATTAAAGAAGGGGGACTCTATTTACTTTAAAAAAAAGAACGTCCCCAAAACTGGCTGAGCGTTATGATTATAGCGTAATAATAGTAGGGGGATGCTAAAATTTCTGAAAATTAGTTGGGGTACTCTGTCCCCCTACGTCCCCCCTCAAGTCGAGCACTGCTGTTATTAATATCAAGTGCGTAGCCAAAGGTGTTTTGGGTGTTACCACATTCGACCCTATTAATTCAAAATCTATTATACACTTTATGTTTTGGGTTCCTTCAAAATAAAAAAAATATTTAGTTCAATGATTCCGTTTCATATATGATAACACATTCTAATGGAGGAAGTATAACCACAACTACAAGGTGTGTTCAAATATACATATTTAAAACCCTCTACTTTTTAACTAACCTGGCTACGCTTTTGAATACTACGAATTACAATTGTATCATTATTATTATTAAATACTTTACATTATTAGCATAAACGTGCGCAGACATTCCTGGCAGATTAGTCATAAATAACACATTGACGCTTAATATTAACAACAAATCTGGATGGGGTAATTTCATTTAACTTAATAATTATATTTTTCCAATATTCGTATACATATATTTACCGTTTACGTTTTTACGTTTCGAAATGGTTGGATACAATATGGTTATTTATTATTGTGATAAATATTGAATATTTCGGTAAGGGAGGGGAGGTACACACAGTAGTCAAGTGCCTATTCTGACTACCCCGTGCGCACGATTATTGTTATTAATATATACGTTACATGACATATTTTCATTCGCATCCATTTCGTGTAGCAAAAACGTGTTTTTAAGTAAAAACAACGTACCTAACAATGTGAAACGAAATGTTTGTCGTACGAATTTGTTTTCTTAAAGCACCGTCAAGTTCGTAAAATCGACTGTATGTATATATGTGTGTGTGTAATAAATGGATAAATCACCGCGGCGGCGTCGTCGAGAGTACATCGAGCGTGCGCGCGACCTGCAACAGCCTCAAAAAGGAAATATTATTAGCGTGATTGACCGCGTCAGATATGGTCATAAACTCGCGTATTGTAAATGACGGACGACCTTTATCCATGCCACCGCCGCGCCACAGCCTGAACCCTACCACGGTTTTTACTTTCGACCGCGGAACGTCGTTGGTATATAAATCGACGCGGACGGCATCATTGCAGTGTACACTGTTTGCAGTTCTTCGGTCGATCGTATCGCATAAACGCACACCACGTTCTACATTTATTTATTCCGTTTTTTCGACAGGTAAACGGATTTGAATTTTGAACAACGCGATTGTTCTCGTCGTCATTCGAATTTCTCTTGTAACCGACCGTCTGTTTGTTTACAGATAACAAAACCGAAACAACCGTCATGTGCGACCAAGAAGTAGCAGCTCTGGTGGTGGACAATGGTTCCGGTATGTGTAAAGCCGGATTCGCTGGTGACGACGCGCCCAGAGCCGTGTTCCCGTCGATTGTCGGACGTCCGCGGTATCAGGTACGTGTACCGAATCAACATAGTGATTATCGCACATCGTCACGGGTCGAAATAAGGACGAATGTTGTGCAAGACCTTTTTTCTTTGGAGGGAGGGGGCTGAAGCTTACAAATATACAATATTCTATATAATATAATCGTTTATATTATTTGGGAACTGTAGAAAATCTATGAGAACAAAACCATCCTAGATCTCTCGTATTTGCGCTTATGAGCACAGACGGTTGCAGTTGACTCGTAAAAAAAAATTAGAAGCTATTGGAGAACTTTTCACTTTAACGGTATTGTTCTAAAAACCGATCATATGCTTAGAGCATTAGAGTTTTTAAAATAACATTGTAAAATAACGATTATATTACCGCTAATTATTACAAATCGTACAAATCAATTGAAGTAATTGTTATTAAGTAATTCAAAACTATTACAGAATACAAGTAATTTTTCTATTTCATTTTAACCCTGATCGAAGCCTGAATGAAGTTGCGTGCAATATAAGTCCAGATATAATAAATTTACGAACAGTAGAATAGTATTACTTACTATTATTACTACAATGCTCAAAATCGTAAAAAGCTGGTTCGCCTTCCCTCTGTACTTTTTTTGGCCATCTTAAGCCTTTCCACGTATATCTTATAACTAAATAACGACCGAACGAGTCATCGATTTGGTTTATCACGATTAATATAATCTATCTAAATCGCTATTCTACAGGGAATCATGGTAGGCATGGGCCAGAAGGACAGCTACGTCGGTGACGAAGCCCAATCCAAGAGGGGCGTGCTCACAGTTAAGTACCCCATCGAGCACGGAATCGTCACTAACTGGGATGACATGGAAAAGGTGTGGCACCACACATTCTACAACGAACTCCGAGTGGCACCCGAAGAACACCCCGTGTTGCTGACCGAAGCGCCACTAAACCCAAAAGCCAACCGCGAGAAAATGACTCAGGTGAGTTATTATACATAACAGTCAGAGAATAGGTACCTACTGCGTATAATGCATACGTACTCATACCAGTCATCCCTTTGGGAATCAAATTTTTTCACGAATTCGACAGTCCAAATAGTGAAAACGAAAACATATGAAAGACCCAAAAATCAAATATATCATTAATAAACGAGATCACTGTTTTCTAATTGATCGTCATATATAAACATCTTGTCATGTACATGTAGGTACATTCGTATACAAAACGAACGTCTCCGGGCTGCGAGATTCATTCAACGCTGTCATGTTAACAGTGCGCCTATGACCGGAACCTTTGAAATCTCTTTTCAGATTATGTTCGAGACGTTCAACACTCCGGCCATGTACGTGGCCATCCAAGCCGTACTGTCCCTGTACGCTTCCGGTCGTACCACCGGTATAGTATTGGACTCCGGTGACGGCGTTTCGCACACCGTGCCCATTTACGAAGGTTACGCGCTACCGCACGCCATCCTCCGTCTAGACTTGGCCGGTCGTGACCTGACCGACTACCTTATGAAGATCCTCACCGAAAGAGGATACAGCTTCACCACCACCGCCGAGCGAGAAATTGTCCGCGACATTAAAGAGAAACTCTGTTACGTGGCGCTCGACTTTGAACAAGAAATGCAAACGGCCGCGTCGTCCAGCGCTCTGGAGAAGTCTTACGAACTTCCTGACGGACAAGTATATACTGCATATTAACTTTTAGGGACTTGCTTTCATGGTCTTGTTTGTGGAGGAGGAGGAGGAGGAGGAGGAGGAGGAGGAGGAGGAGGAGGAGGAGGGCAAACATTAATGTAATATTGTATTAACTGTGTTCCACAGTTTTTAATCGCAGCGCCAAATAATGCTAAGGTATTGTGATGTTTCCGTTGCGTCACAAAAAACAACGAATACAATATGAAAGTTTTTTTTTTGCGTTAGGTAAATCCGGAAACATTTTTCGCGGCATTCAAGTCTCTTGTGTAGTGTACATTTTAGGCAGTGGTGTATTGGAGGGTATACGCTGGTATACGCCGTATACCCGGATCTCTGTTTTTGGATTTATGCGTATACTTTTAAGAAAATTCGTCTTATCATGGGTATACGCTAACTAATCATTCATTCATAATAGGTATACGCAAGTTTCTAATTTTTCATCACCATAAAGCATACATTATATAACAACAGTAAAGAATTTATTATTATTATTATATACTATAGCCACTATCCAAAAATAGCCTCGTGTCCGCATAAACTTCAATTAAATTTTTCCCGACTTCGGGTATTTGTGAAGACGGTCGGAAACTGCCGAGCGCCTACAATCTGTAACATCAGAATTTTAACAATACCGGTGGACATGTGCGATACTGCATTGTCGAGCGTATATTATAATTGTTAAAAATAAATCAACAGTCAAAAAGTTCTGTTTATAAATTTATCACATTATTAACCGATCTGTCTACGATGTTTTGGATAGATTGTGATTATTAATTATTATATTGTTGTCAGTTTGTCACTTAGTCAGTATTTATTTGTCGCATGTTTGTGCAAATCATTTTAAATTAATACTAAAATATTATTACACATAATAAAACATTAGGTTTCGTATATGATATATACCTACGAGTTAATTAAAAATAAGTTTAAAATGTAGAATTCCATATCAGGCGTAGATCCAAGGAGACTAAGGGGGCGCGCATCCATTAAAAATCCCCCAAAAATACTTTTCTTGAAATTTTGTACACCCCCCTTCTTAGGAAAAAGTCTGACGAGGGTATATCCCACGTCCCCATCATATTATGTAATTTTGAGTTTAGGCAGGTAGAAAATTTTCTTTTTAAGGGGTTTAGTCCCCCCTCCTCCCACCAATAAACGCTTATGTGCTGAACGTATACCCTAGAAAAAAATTACGAATACACCAGTGATTTTAGGAGAATGAGGAGATCAATATAATTTTCAAATTATACATGGTAATTGTAAAAAACATTCCGTGTGTGTGGTAATCAGTGGGGAGGGGGGATAAGGCAGGAAGAATTGACAAATGCCTAGTTTACAAATCAGTATTTTGAATATAAAAATAATTATAATAATAAGATAAAAGGATGATCATAATACGTTTGTAAAGACAGATCGGAGAAAAACAACGTTAGAAGCAGGATCAAAACTTTTTGTGGCCATTAATAAATGACACGTTTCATACAGTCGATTCAGAACATAGTATTACGTATAACACATGCTAATTATTCATACAGGTGATAACCATCGGAAACGAACGGTTCCGTTGCCCAGAGTCGCTGTTCCAACCATCGTTCTTGGGAATGGAGTCGGCTGGCATTCACGAGACCACGTACAACTCCATCATGAAGTGCGACGTAGACATCAGGAAGGACCTGTACGCCAACACCGTGTTGTCCGGTGGAACTACCATGTACCCAGGCATTGCCGACAGGATGCAGAAGGAGATCACATCGCTCGCACCGTCCACCATGAAGATCAAAACGATTGCACCGCCTGAACGTAAATACTCTGTTTGGATCGGTGGATCGATCTTGGCGTCTCTGTCCACTTTCCAACAGATGTGGATTTCTAAAACCGAATACGACGAGAGCGGTCCATCCATTGTTCACAGGAAATGTTTTTAAATGCCACGGCGATATGGTACAAACATGCCACACTCGCACGTACGCACACACATACACACATACACACACACACACACACATACACACACACACACACACACACACACACACACACACACACACACACA